AAAAAAAAAAAAAAAAAAAAAAAAAAAAAAAAAAAAAAGAGAGAAAGAAAAAGTATGTCTGATGGGAGAAATTTAATTCAATAAATATTACCAGAATCCTATTACATTCACAGAATTTGCTGGGGATACCATGTGCCTCAGTTTCCTCATTTGTAAAATAAGGAAAATAACACTTGCATTATTTGGGGGGGCAGGTAAAAATTGAGCCTCTCAGGCTTGCTGTAGCACTTGGCAAACCTTAAAAGTGTAAACAAACACTAAGAGCCATTATTATGTTATTAATCACATTATTTTATTTCACTATTAATATTACTTAATGACAACAGTAATAAAAAAAAAGTGCCTCTGCCTCTGAGGCACTTGAAATCCAGCTGGACACCAATCTTACAGACAGGAAATAATTAAAGAACAGTAACAGATTGGATATAATTAAGTGCCGAAATATGTGGTACAAATAATCACTCAGTCAACATATCTTTTGAGTTCCTGCTATGTGCTCAGCCCTGCGCTAACTCTAACTTACATTTATATTAAAGTTTGCAGAGTGCTTTCCTCACAACAATTCTGAAAGGAAATTCTTATACCCATTTTACAGATGAGGAAAAGGAAGCTCTGAGAGGTTGTGACATGCTCCTGGTCATGTAGCTAATACATGGCTGAATTTGAACCCAGGCTTCTTGACTCAAAGCCCCAAACTCTATCTACTGAGCAGCACTTCTTCCCATGCTGTATAAGATAAAGAAGCCTAAAATAAAAATTATATTCTCCATGAACTTGTAGTCTAGTTAGTAAGGGAAGGTGTATGCCCAAGGGCCAATGAGACAATAAGTTCCTTGGGAAGTGATCTGTTCATTTAACTGGGAACAGCTGAGAGTTAATGTGTTTAGATGAGAACTTTTCTTACAGTTAGAATGATCTGAAAGTAGAATGGGACATTTTGTGAAGTAGTGAGCTCCTCATCACCGGAAGTTTTAAAGCAAAGGTTAGATGACCACTTGTCGGGTATGTTGTCGAGAGTGTATTCTAGAAAAGGCTAGGGATAGGCAGGAAGACAGACTGATGAATTCTCCTTGAAGTTTGGCCCCAAGGGGCTGTGGCTAAAATGAGACCCTTCTTTCTTCAGGACTGCTCTGGAACCTGTCTTCCACTGATGAGCTGAAGCAAGAACTCATTAATGAAGCCCTCCCTGTTTTGACTGATCGGGTTATCATCCCCTTCTCTGGCTGGTGTGATGGCAATAGCAACATGTCCAGGGAAACAGTGGACCCGGAAGTTTTCTTCAATGCCACTGGCTGTTTGAGGTGAGAGAATTCGGCTCTTCCCCTCTACCTGTGCTTGGCACAACATAGTACAACCCAGTTTTGACACCTCAGTCAGTGGGGTCCTTCTCATCCCAGATCCTGCCTGGGACAGAGAAATCAAAGGACTATTTTATTTTTATAAATTTATTTTTATTGGTATCATCTGTTTTTACATCACCTAAAAAAAAAAAGAAAGAAGGGAAAAACAGTTTAACAAAATTAACCAGCACATAATCTTTGCCTGACAGTATATAGAATACACATGTCTACAGAGTCCCCGAGTTCTGCAGAAAAGGGAGAAGCTGCAATGTCTTAGCTCTTCTTTGGAGCCAACTTTGGTCACTACAAGTAGTCTCTGATTTAATTTTGTTTTTATTCCTTCCATTTATGTTGTTGAAGTCATTATTCATACACAACCCCTCATAAGAAAAATGTGTGTGTGTGTGTGTTTGTATTCTGATAATTTCCCTCAGCATCAATTCATGGAATCTTCTGACACTATTCTGAATTCTTCATACTCATCATTTCTTACATATAATATGTTCATTTATATTCATTATTTCTTATATGTGTTGCATGTTCATCTATAGTCATCATTTAGTAATAGGTTACATGTTCACCCCATTCCATATGCATCCTTTCTTATATATTCATTTATATTAGTTTCTTACATGTCTTACGTGTTCATTTATATTCATCATTTAGTACCTATGTTCCATGTTCATTACATTCCAGATTCATCATTTCTTACAGTGCAGCATGTGTATGCACATGTATGTTTCCATGCACAAATAACCAACACTTGGCCAAAAACCAAGTACCTATGTCTTAATGTTCTAACTAATTCAATTCTTCTTTTTCCTTTTTTTTTGCTCTTTTATTCACCGAAATGCGCTCTCTGTGCTAGTTGAAGAGAATTTCCCACACACAAAGTCTTCGGCTAATGAGTCACTCTCAGCCTTAGGCCATTGTATCATACAGATTGGCACAAAGACCATGTCTATGCCCAAAGTGTTCCAAGTTCCAAACCAGGCAGGGTGTGGTTAGGGTAGAAGGTGGTTTCAGCAAGAGCTGTTGGGTGCTGGAATCTGGGTGTGATCATTATGTAACAGCAAATATTGTGCCACTCAATGGGGTACTCAGAGAAGGGTAAGGCCCCCTTTGACATCTATACCTTGGTTCAATGATTTTAATCTTTTCCACTAGCAGACTCGCTTCTTAAAGAAAAAAAAAAAGGACTTATGGCTACCCTTTATTTTTCCCGTAGTCACTTTGTAGAAGCCTCTTCCTCCACAGAATCTTTCCTCTAAAATAAATCAAAACAGTTGAAGCAAAATCAACCAATGCAGAGACTTCATCTAACACTACTTGCAACATTCTGCATCCATAGTCGCCCTCCTTTTCTACTAAGAGTTCTCTGTTGAGAGGAGAGAGATGTGTCTCATCATCTGTTCTCTGGAACCAAAATTGGTCATTGCATTTCATATGCATTCTGCCTTTTAGAGATGTTGTTATTTGCATCATCATACTCATTATGTGTATTGATCTATTGATTTCACTACCTTCAATCCGTATCAGTTTATACAAGTCTTTCCATGTTACTCTGAATTCTTCATAGTTATTACTTCTTATGTTGCAATAAGATTCTTTACATTCATATACTACAATTTATTCAGCCATTTTCCAATCCACAGACACCCACTCTACTTCTAGTGTATTGTTTGTTTTTGATTTTTTTTTCAGTTTTTTGGTGCTACAAAAAGAACTGCTATGAATTTAATATGTTTGGGCCCTTTCAGTCTTTGACCTTTTTGAATATATATGCTGAGAGTAATAAGGATCAATGGGGTCAAAGGAGATGAACATTTAGTTGTTGTTGTCGCTGAGTCATTTTTCAGTTGTGTCTGACTCTTCGTGACCCCCTTTGGGGTTTTCTTGGCAAAGAACCTGGAGCGATTTGCCTTTTCTTTCTCCAACTCATTTTACAGATGAGGGAACTGAGGTCAACAGAATTAAGTGACTTGCCTAGGGTCACACAGCTTAGTAAGTGTTTGAGGTTGGATTTGAACTGAGGTCTTCCTGGCTTCAAGCCCAGCACTCTATCCACTGAGCCACCTAGTTTTAGTAACATCACATAATTCCAAATAATTTCCACTTAGGGAACTTGCAGGATTCTTGGGGAGTCCAGAGAGAGTTTCTTGGCATGTACTTCTTTGTTTCAACTTGTTGCTTCTCCTTATAACCTCTCCAATAGATCACCTGCCCCATAGCCTGCTGAGGCATAGGGAGGCTTGGAGATGAAAAAGCCATGTAATTAAGGCCTTTATGGAGTTGCTGGAGGGGTAGAAGAGCAGCCCCACCCACCTCAGGCAGATGGGCCCAGATTGCTTGGGAACCTGACTAATTGTGGCAGCTGGGAAAACACATTTGCCTGCTTGAAAGTATTGGGTGGGGAGGTGGATCCGGTCCCTGGCCAACCGCCACTTAATCCGTGTCCTCCAGCACTAGAGGAAGGTGCCCCCAACAGAAGAAACATTGAGAAGCAGGGGGCTTCTAGACTTCTTTGAAGGGAGTCCCTACTTGCGGTGGGGCAGGGGCAGGGGGGATTGCGATATGTGTTGCCAGGGGCTTGTGTGAGGTGCCAACCACAGCAGTCATAGTGGGAAAGTTGTAAAATCATGGGCATAAGGAGTGAGTGGGCAGAAAATGTGTCAGAGAAGATGGCATTGAGACAAAGTTCAAATGAGGCCACATCTCAGCCTCTTTCAGCATTAGCATTTAGCCATCCTGTTGTTTGTTCTTTCCTTTCTATTTCTTTATCCTTTCTTTTTCTTCTCCTTCTATTTTTCCCTATTCTCTCTCCTCCAACACACTCTTTCCCCTCATTCCTCACACTGCCTTCATTCCTTTATTCCCTTGTTTCCTTTCTTCATTCCCTCTCACCCTCCATTGGTCTCCATTGGTTTCTTACCCACTCACCCTCTTTCCCCTCCCATTCTTCATTCTTACATTCACTACCATAGTTCAGCCTGGACTATGGCAATGATCTCCTAATTGGTCTCCCTGCTTCCAGCCTCTCCCTTCTCCAATCCATCTTCCATACAGCTGCCAAACTGATATTCCTAAAGAACAGATCTGAACACGTCACTCTACTGCTCAAGAAACATCTATGACTTTGTATTTACTTATGTGTGTAGGTGTTATTGTCCTCTCAAGAGAAGATAAGCTCTGTGAGGGCAGGGATTTTTGTTTTTGACTTTATATTCCAAGCTTCTAGCACACAGCAGACACTTAATAGATGCTTATTAAATGAATAAATGAAAGAATGACTCTCTATTGCCTCTAGGATAAAATAAATACAAACTCCTCTGTTAGGTATTTAAAACTTTTAACAGTCTGATTCCAGTCTCTTTCCTGCCCTATCTCCCCTTACTCCATTCACTCTATGCTCTAGCCTTACTGACCTACTTTTTGTTCCCAGTACCCAAGGACATGCTGGAAATGTTTAACAATTAATTCTCAAAACAAAAGTATGTATGACACACTTTTAAGTTTAATCTGTGTTATTAACATATTATCCATCATTTTCTTAAGGCTCAGTGATCAACAAAACAATCAGTCAAGCCCTGATTTGTAGCATTTGCTGGCCTCAGGCATGTAAATGCTCATGCTGAAAATTTAGTAATTGGTTCTTAAAAGCTGCCACAAACTGGCTCCAGCACACTTCTGCCTATACATGACATTCCATCTGTATCTAGGATAAAACATAAGGCTGTCCCTGCCTGGTTTTCCTCCTCACTCCTCTCTCTCTTGGAATTCCCCATTCTTTTTGGGGCTTAGCTAAGGTGTCATTTCTTATGGGGCCTTTCCTGATCCCCCTAGTTGTGGGGCTCTCTCGATTAAAATCATTTTATATTTACTTTGAATGTGTTGTATATATATATATATATATATTTGACAATGTGTACATTGTATCCTCTCCATAGAATGTAAGCTCCTTCAAGGGAAGTATTTCTTTTTTTTTTTTTTTTGGTCTTTGTACCCTAAACCTAAGTACAGTACCTTGCATATACCTTGCATATAGTAGGGACTTAAACAAATACTTCGGAATGAATAAATTCTTTCCTCCATTTCATCTCCATTCCCTCCTCTCTTCTCCACTCTCTCCCCTTCTATGACTCTCCTTAATGCTCTTCTTTTCTTCCAGGAACCTGAGCTCAGCTGATGCTGGACGCCAGACTATGCGTAACTACCCAGGGCTGATTGATTCCCTCATAGCTTACGTCCAGAACTGTGTGGCAGCCAGTCGCTGTGATGACAAGGTAAGAGCCCAGTTCTTCTAGACTCCAGTCTTGACCTCCTCCTTCCCAGAGCTCCCTATATACCCAGAAGTTGGATTTCTTCTTCTCAACAAACTTGGCCTCAGAGTCAAGTCATAGAGCCCAAGAAGGGGAGTGTTAGCTTTGGTGCCTACATTTGAACAGTTCCCACCTCAAAAGCCAAGTCAACCATGAAGCTTGTTCAGGGCCTTCTAAGAATGTGAGCTAGGCTAACGGAAGCCCTTAGATAAGACAGTGTGTGGTTCTGAAAACTAGTGGAAAGTGATGGCCAAGAGAATGTGTAGACTTATAGACTGGTAGAAAGTGATGGCCAAGTCTGGGCTAATGGATTCCATTGGTTCTTTCCATCTCAATGGCATTTTGGCACATGGAAACAAAACGTAGAGGATCTGGGCTGTGGAAGTCACTTAGGTGTTAGGAGAAGCCCTGTTGGCACTTGTAAGATGAGATCTGACCTTTTTGGATTTCTGAAAAGAAGTGACAAGCCACAGAGAGTGATTTCCTTTTGGAGGAGTTCTGCCACCAAAGTAGACTGTCAAAGTAGACAGTGAAGATCCAGCTTTACGAAGAAAGGCATTCCCATGGTTATTTATGGCCATCTCTCAGTTTTTCACACGATATTTCTCCTCTTTGAGACATATTCCCTTCAAATATATAATCCCAGGCTCAACAGTATAGCCTAATTCTAACATCAGCCTGGATCAGGCATGATTAGATAAATTTGCTGCCATTCTCCTGCTACCTGCCATTTTTTCCCCACCCCTAAACAAATAAATACAATTGACTGTGGAATGAGCAATGAGTTCTTGAGGATCTGGATTCAAATCCTACCTTTGATACATATTCTCTTTGTGGTTTTGAGCGAGTGACTTAGTTTCCCTGAACCTCGATTTCCTCATATACAAAAAGGAGAATTGGATTAGAGAGCCTCTATGATTCCTTACAGCTCTGGAGTTATGACCCTGTGATATTATAAGCCTATGCTTTGCAATTTTCTAACCATGTGACAGGGTAAATTTCTTCACTCTTCTGAATTTTGGTTTCCTCAGCTGCAAAATGGAAATAATGGTGTTCACATCTGCTATTTGCCTCACAGGTTTTTTTGAGGAAAGTATTTTACAAGCTATAAAGTACTGTACAAATGAGAACTATTATAATGCATTCCAAAGCCAGAAGACATGGCCCTTGGATCCTTGGATAATGGAGATTATCAGTGTTACCCAGAGCTGGTGCAGAGATAGAGAATGGTTGTGATGACCCACTAGCCCCCCTCCTAGGCACTGCCTTGGGCAGCCATTCTCTTACTCTGAGTCTCTTGATCTGGATGATCAGTCCTTTGGGTGGAAGCACGGGGCCTGCCCAGGTTGGGCAGGGAAGTCAGGCCTCTGTACTCTTGCTTACCTTTCAGTCTGTGGAGAACTGCATGTGTATCCTGCATAATCTGTCTTACCGACTGGATGCCGAAGTGCCCACCCGTTATAGCCAGCTGGAGTATAACACCCGCAATACCTTTACTGACAAGTCCTCCACAGGCTGCTTCAGCAACAGGAATGAAAAGATGATGGTGAGGAACCCTTCTCCCTGCCCCAGGCAGTCCAGGAGAGTCAAGTGGAGCAAACCCTCAGGGATAGACTTAGATGATAGGAAAGTGGGAGGTCAAGCACCAGGATCCAACTGGGACACACTGCTAAGGATGGCACTCAGTGCTCAATTCATTGAATAAGATTTCAGACTTTGTTGCAATCAACCAATTTCCCCACTTCCATCCTAAAGCCTTTACTTGGCTCCAGGAGAGAGCGCCCATCTGACAGCCCACCTGCTTCAGGTATTTTTTTGTTTTTGTTTTTTTCTGCATTGCTTTGAGAATAAGATATTTCAATGGATGCTTTGAGGTCATCATTTCACTCTTTCCTAGCCCCAGTTTTCCCCTGAGTCATCCTTTTTTTTTTTTTTGTTATCATAAACAATCTGGTGAAGCCTATGGACCCATTCTCAGAATAATATTTTAATACATAAAATAAAATGCATAGGCTTATAAAGGAAACCAATTACATTGAAATATAATTACCAAATACTTTTTTAAAAATTAAAAAAGAAAACAAGTTCATAGATCCCAGGTTAAGAACCACTCCGGTCAGAAGGAGGAACATAGGACTATTTGAGATATGAATGGGGAAGGTCTTCCCAAATGAGGACTGAGTATGGCAGTCACTTATCTATGGCATCTGGGCCTTGAGCCAGCTTATATGCCCTGCTGCTCAAGGGAGACCTGAGTTTAATGTGCCTGCCTTGGGAAGTAAAATAATCATCAGGAGTTGGGGCCAGAGAGCAGCCTATGCCTTTAGTTCCCTGGACTGAAGACTTAAGCCAAGCAGCTAGTGATAGACCATGCTTTTCAAAGCACACTAATTGATCTCAGTGCCTATTGTCAGAGTATGCATGAGTATGTTTAATTTTATGAGGTTTGAAAGAATCCACTCTTCCCTACTCTTGTCAGGATCATTGAGTCAAATTCTAGCCACTTTCATTTGGATTTGCTCCACTTTAGCAGAAATTGGAAAAACCAAGGGACATATCAGTTTCCTAAACTTTGAAGACACAGCCCAGTGGGCCTGTCTCTGCCTTCCAGGACA